AGCTGGATGCTTCACTCTCCACTCTAGTCCTCTGTGGCTATGTCACTGACTCTGGGCCCAAGAGTCCCCAGGTTTTGCCACACTGCTGGCCAACCAGGTTTCCACCCAGTTCACAGGAGTCTATTGAACATTGTAGGGCTTAACTTGCAGCTTCACTGCTGTTTTTCCCTCACTGCCCCTTATTGGTGACGAACGTGGTCAGCAATCAGAGCGTATATTCCCATTGAGTCTTAGTCTTGGAAGGGGGTTTATATTGAGGGGACCCGACCACTTGCCTTGATGTCTCCTGGGCAAGTTTGTTTGTTCTTGTAGTTACAGTCAGTCTGCCTCTACTGTTTTGTATTTTTCCTGTAGGTCTTTCTTTCAAGAAGTATCTCCTGTTCTTCTAGCTGCTCCAGGCTGATTTTACTTTGTGGATTTTTGTTTTGTTTTGTTTTTTGATGTTGCAATTGGATCTCTGGTTCTCTAGTTTCAGTTTTCTATATCTGGACTCCTGGTGTGGATCAGCACTGGACTGCGAACCACAAGATTGGCAGTTCAAACCTACCAGCTGCTCCTTGGAAACCTTATACAGGGTCACTATGTGTTGGAACCAACTCGATGGCACTTAACAACAATGACAGCATATCTGGGTTAAACTCCAGGTATGGCACTGTAGGATAAGCACTGGACTGCAAACCACAAGGTCAGCAGTTCAAACCTACCAGATGCTCCTTCAAAACAGGGTCTCTATGAGTCAGGATCTACTTGACGGCACTTAACAACAATATCTGGGGTGAGTCTAGGTGATATTGTCATGTATGTAAGTTTCAGGTTGTAGTTCATTACTGATTCTCTGTCAAAATAACTCTCTTTAGTAGTTTTTGTAAGATTGGGCTGGTTTTTATAAATGATTTTGTTTGTCTGAAAATTTCACCAACATATTTTATGGACAGTTTTGCTGGACATATGATTTTTGGTTGGCAATTGTTTCTTTCAGAGTGTTATGTATGTCATTTCATTGTCTTCTTGCTTGCATGGTTTCTGCTGAGAAATCAAAGCTTAGTCTTTATTAGTTCTCTTTGGTAGGTAACTTTTCATTTTCCCTGAGTTACTCTCAGGGTTCTTTTCTTGTCTTTGGTTCTGAAAAGTTGATTATAATATGTCTTGGTGTATTTATTTTAGGACTTATCCTGTTTGGAGTTTGTTCAACTTCTTGAATGTCTTTCTTCTTGTATTTCACGTCAGTGAACTTTTCTTCCAACAACTTCCAACAATATTCTTTGAGGATTTTTTTCTCTTTCTGTTCTGGAACTCCTATCATACTTAAGTTATTCTTTTTGCCTCACATACATCTTAGGCTTTTAAGGGATTTTT